TATTTAACTGCCCTAAGCCTCGCTTTCATTATGTCTAAAAACTTATAGAGGGGTGTGTGTGTGTGTGTGCATTTATCTTATCTCACTAAAGAACGTTTAACGTTTTTAGGAAAAAACTTCTGTTTTTAGTGAAATCAGACACTTCCTTGCAGGTGCTAAACTTTCTTTGTTGCTGTGATAGAAGATGGGGAATGGTGGAAATATCACTAAAGGACTCTGAGAGCAAACTGAGCTATGAATCCTGAGTTAAGTACCAAACCCGGTTACAAACTAACTTTAGATCAAATGTAGCTGCATGGATCTTCACTATTTGCTTGTATTAATCATTTTTAAATTTTTTTTCTGTATTTTATGATGTTTTGACATCTTAAAATCTTGCTGACCAGAGACTGTCCCAAAGGACTCAACGGGCCTGTCTTTCAAATGCAAACCAACCAATCTCTAGGTACCACCAGACAATTGGAGACCACTCCTACAGCCCCAAACCCTGTCTGTCTCAGAGTGCTTACAGGCCAAGTGACCCTACTCGCCTATTTCTTAAAGATGCATCTGTTTTCCCTGGTCTCAGAATGTAAGAGCAGTCATCATAGGTGATAAACACATTTTAGCCTCAGAAATTTTGCACTCATTACCTTTTCCATCTCTTCCCAGATGTCCATAAGGTCTACATCCTCACTTTACGCAAGTCTCCCAAATGTCACTAGAGATAGATGTCCTCTCCGAGCCACCCTATCACATATAGCAGCCCCTTCAGCCCTCCTTTCTTCCTCGTGCTTGCATCACATTGTCACACGTGTTTTCTTATTTTATTATCTTCTTGCCCCATTGTGTTAGCTTACAAGGGCTTCCATTAAAAAAATGCAACAAGGCTGAAAGCCCAAGATCTAAGTGTTGTCAGGTTTAGTTTTTCTGAAGCTTCTATTTTGGCTTGTAGATGACCACATTCTCACTGTGGCCTTATGTGGCCAAACTTCAGTCTATGTCCTGATCTCTTCTTAGAAGGACACCAGTCATATTGCATCAGGGCTTACCCACATGGCCTAATTTTACCTTAATTACCTCTTTAAAGGCCCTGTCTCCAAACACAATCACATGTTCCCAGGCGTGTAGTATATGCTCAATAAATACCAGTTCTAAGGCTCCCAAGAGTTGTTCGTTGCTGGTGTGGAGACTCAGGACATCCCAAAATATGACTATAGGACTCCAGAATATGCCACCCCAAAATAAGCTTTTTTAGCATGTTTTGAGCTACTTATTCTGATACTCTGCAGACACAGGAGTAGCTCTGAAAACCCATCCTTGTATACAAGAAATTTACATCTATAAAGGAAATCTACATCAGTAAAAGTATCTGTATCAGAAAGAGGGCTGCTCTAACAACTTTATTAGCCGACTTTTAATCTGCATAACAAGGCAACTTTTATTCACCATACATTTCCTCCCCTCATCCTTCTGAAACTTCTCTCCACTGCCCACCAGAAGCCCCAAGTCCCTATTCCTTTCTGTATATAATTCAGGATGCTGTATAAGCGTCAATCATCTATTTTCATGGAACTCCTGTGTGTATGCATTTAACTAAACATGGTTTTTCTCTTGCTAATTTGTCTAATGGCAATTTAATTTATAGCCTAGACAAAGAACCTAGAAAGCTGGAGGGAGGACATTTCTCTCCTACACTACCAAGCGAGTTTCTGGTATCCTGTCCTGGTGTCTAAAATCTATAAGCAAAACATGACTCTTTGAAACTCTTAGCAACTTAATATTAAAACTCTGATGGCTTTTCAATAAATTCTTATAATTCGACTAATTTTTATAATTCTCATATTTTTAAAGGGCGGAACGTATCAAAACACAGATTAATTGGTTGTCAGTGAAATTTATAAATTTATGGAAGAGTTACAACCTTAATTAAATTTTTATATTGCCTTTACTTTCTGCCAATAAAAACCAAAACATCTGGGTTTTGGCCTGTTATGAAAACAAGTCTTTCTTAATATAAAATAAGTATAAATGAACACTAATATTGTTTCTTCTCATGTAGGTAGCATTATAACAAAGTTGTTCTACAATATCAGCATAAAAATGTAGGATTTATGTTTACCTCTTCCTTGTCAATAAGTAAGAAATACAGCCAACTCTACAGCACAGCAAGCAGAAGAATAGGCGTTCTGTTTTTTGAGACGCAGTCTCACTCTGTCGCCAGACTGGAGTGCTGTGCCATGATCTAGGTTAACTGCCGCCTCCACCTTTCAGGTTCAAGTTACTCTCCTGCCTCAGCCTCTTGAGGAGCTGGGACTACAGGCATGTGCCACCATGCCCAGCTAATTTTGAGATTTTTAGTAGAGATAGGATTTCACCATGTTGGCCAGGATGGTCTCAATCTCTTGACCTTGTGATCAGCCCGCTTCAGCCTCCCAAAGTGCTGGGATTACAGGTGTGAGCCAATGCACCAGGCCAAGAATAGGTGTTCTAATCAGGGCCTTAGGAATTGCAATTTGGGAGACACAAATCTAGCAAGCAGCTAAACCATGTTCTATCCAGGCAAGGTAAGGCAGGGCTTATAACGACTATTGTAAGTTCATGCCCTGGAGGGTTTTAGCACAGTTTATGATTGATGATGGCTGGTTATCAGCTTAGGATGTCTCTAGTTGAAGATCAACTTAGTTTTGTGTAGCTATTTCTCCAGGACATCGGTGACCCAGCCCAGTACTACAGCTCAAATCAAATGCAACTGGTTTTATAATTTGGCCCAGTTAAATAGGTCAGATTCCATCTGGGTGTGTATGTGACTGAGGTCCAACTCCTCATGCCCTCCCAGCTCCCTTTTAGACAACTCTGACATAATCATCTCTATTTTCAATTTTCTTTTCACATCCTCATCACTAGGTTCTACTCTACATTGAAAAGTTATATTTTCAGTTACACAATTTTGCCATCTCCTTTATTCAAACCATATGTACACCAAAAAGGTGAAATGAGGGCAGAATTTATATTCAGAGCAACACATGATTCACAATTCTACAGCTCAAAAAAGTTTTGAAAAATGAAAGGCTTTTTATAGTCTGTAAGATATGACCTGGGAAGCACTTCCAGAATGGCTGGATAAGAAGCTCTGCAAATCAGACCCTCCACAAAAGTTACAAAAATATTCGCAAAAATGCTAAAAATCCAACTTTTTCCAGAACTCTACAAATTAACCAAAGGCTTGCAACACTACAAGAGGCACTGATGAAGAATTGTTATACCTCCATGACAAAAAGAGAAATCACTCAATTTTTAAAATAGGTGAATGATTCGAATAAATATTTCTCCAAAGAAGATATAGAAATGACTAATAAGTACACGAAAAAAAGGTCAACATCATTAGCCATTAGGGAAATAAAAATCAAGACCAAAATTAAATACTACTTCAAAGTCACAAGGATGGCTATAATAAAAAGATGAACGAGGACAAGTATTGGCAAGGATGAGCAGAAATTGGAACCATCATGCTGGTGGGAATGGAAAGTGGTGCGGCTGTTTTGGAAAACAAGTTTTCCAGTTCCTAAAAAATAATTAAACGGGATTGCTGCACAACCCAGAAATTCCACTATTAGGTGTACATATATATATATGTATATATATATACATATCTTAGGTATAATTCCATGTGTGTGATATATATACTTGCCCACTCAGGTATATATCCGCATGTTCACACAATAACTTGTCCACTCTTATGTGTATATCTACATGTTAACACAAAAACTTTTTCCTAATGGTTCACAGCAGGATTATTCATAATAACTAAAAGGTGGAGAACCCAAGTGTTCACTGATTGATGAAAGGATAAACAAAATCTGGTATAGCCGTAAAATGGAATATTATCCAGCAACATAGAGCAATGAAGTACTGATACACATTACTGCATAGATGAACCTTGAAAACATTATGTTAAGCAAAAGAAGGCAGACACAAAGGGCCAATATTGTATGAGTCCGTTTATACGAAGTGTCCAAAACAGGTGAATCCATAGAGACAGAAAGTAGATTAGTGGTTACCAGGAGCCAGGAGAAATGAGAAATAGAGAGTGATGGATATAATGTAAAATTAGACAGTGGTGATGGTTGCACAGATCTGTGAGTATGCTAAAGACCTCTGAATTGTACACTTTAAAATAGTGATTTTATGGAATGTGAGTTATACCTCAATAAAGCTCTTTTTTAAAGTTAAAGAAAAAATATGACTTAACTTGAACTTATTTGGTAGCAAAATGTAACCATTACAAAGCTGTTCATTGTCTTTATTTATGCCACTTAGTGTGACTATGTGTATATTTTCTGTAGAAATTTTAATTCATTTCTTTATCAGGTGCTGTCCTGGACCCTGCTGGAAATGTTACATATATTCCAAAATGTGTTTATTGTTTATCATTCCAAAATGGTAGACATTCTGAATTCTCAATTTTGAAACACATCTGGTTCCAGGAGTTTTTGAATAACAGGTATGTACCAGGATTGTTACTGATAATCACTAGCATAATAATAAATACTGAACTTCAATTTTGGTTTCCCTCTTGGACCTCAAGACCAACAGATGCATGTTTAATGAAAAGGCAAGTTTGGGATTAGTTGGCCTGAAAGTACTCCTTAGATAGTTACACCAAATAGAGAATATCTATATACACATATATTTGATTTAAAATTGGTTTGTAAACCAGGTTTGGTACATAACTCACTGGGTTCACAGCTCTCAGAGCTCTTTTTTTTTTCTTTTGGGTTTTTTTTTTTTTTTTTTTTTTGGACAGGGTCTCAATCTGTTGCCCAGACTAGAGTGCAATGGCGTGATCTCAGCTCACTACAACCACTGACTCCCAGGTTCAAGCGATTCTCCTGCCTCAGCCTCCAAGCAGCTAGGATTACAGTCACCTGCCATCATGCCTTGCTAATTTCTGTATCTTTAGTAGAGACGGGATTGGCCACCATGTTGCCCAGGTTGGTCTCAAAATCCTGACCTCAAGTGATCCACCCGCCTCAGCCTCCCAAAGTGCTGAGGTTACAGGTGTGAGCTACCTCGCCCGGGCCTCAGAGCTCTTTATTGATATTTCCACCATCTCTTATCTTCATGGCCACAGAGAAACTTTTGCACCTCTAAGAAGTGCCTAGAAGTCAGTTTTTTTCCCCAGGACCAAAAATTTTAATGAAAAACAAAAAAACAAATCCAAACATCTGTACAGCAAGTATCTTCTGATGCAAAAAATCCCTGCCATAATCTGTAAGAAGACTGCTTCTCTTAACGAATCATCAATGGGATGGAATCTGAAATTGTAAAATTCTGTAAGTCAATGTTCCTTAATTGTTGGAAACCCAAATGTTGTCATATTATACACACATAATAAAACAACCTGGGCCAGGCACGGTGGCTCACGCTTGTAATCCCCGCACTTTGGGAGGCCAAGGTGGGCAGATCAACTGAGGCTGTGAGTTTGAGACCAGCCTGACCAACATGGAGTAGCCCCATCTCTACTAAAAATACAAAAAATTACATGGTGGCACATGGCTGTAATCCCAGCTTCTCAGGAGGCAGAGGCAGGAGAATCACTTGAACCCAAAAGGCGGAGGTTGCAGTAAGCTGAGATCGCGCCACTGCACTCCAGCCTGGGCCACAAGAGCGAAACTGTCTCAAATAAATAAGAACAACCTGTAGGTCTCTTGCAGAATTGCAGTAGAACATTAGTAATTCTTTGTTTCTACTTCTGAAAATACTAGATGGAGGTTTAACCACAACAACAGCAAATTCCAGTGAGCTGAGACCTTTTTTTTAGTTTACATCTTATTGGGAATTGAAAGATATAAAAGACCCCTAAAGACATATTTAAACCAAAATGATTTGGGTATCATATACCTAGGTCAGTGGTTCCCCCAAACAGTACCTGGACCAGCAGCATCAGCATCATCTGAGTACTTGTTAGAAATGCAAATTCTGGGCCCCACTACACACCTGCTGAATCAGAAACTACAGAGCAGGGTAGAACAGCAATTCCTCTTTAAAGAAGCCTTGCAAGTGATTCTGATGCAGGCTAATGTTTGAGAACTACTGGCCTATGCAAAAACCGCAACATATTACAAGACGTATTTGGAAAATGCTTTACGTAACACTCCCCATTCAGAAAGTCATGCTGTACATTAACTCATATTAAAGGCTCTAAGTAAATCTGCAGTAAATGAAACAGATGAAAGCAAAGGAATTTGGAAAAATGAAAGCAGGACATCACAGTGCCCCCAGGGCAGTTTGCTGCTTTCCTAGAGATATAGTAACTTCGGTATGCAGAGACCAAATTTGTTTTTCCTTTAAGCAGTGCAGTAAAAATTGTTTTTGATGATTTGTGTTCTCTTTTTACTTGCTAGGCAGCTGTTGGTCTTTATGTAGCGCCTATCTGCCTGCCTCTAATGGGGTATGGTAAACTGTTCTTGTCCCCAGAGGGACCCCAGATGGCCCAGCAACCTTTCCCTGCGGGAGGGCTTGATTTTAAACTGCTGTTTTCCATAAAAGAAAAATCAGGGATGTGAGTCTAACCAGAAACAGGTTGCAAAGACTCAGAAGCTGACACAGATGGGGCTCATTAGCAATATTCTTAAAGAGTCAAAAGAAGCCAAGAGTAGAACATTCTCTCTCCTGTTCTTTCCCGCTCTTTGTATGATATTCTCTTGTATATTAGATTCACCATTTGCCCTTTAAACATCTGTTTAAATGAAGAAAGCAATTTAAGATTGAAGATTATGATCATTATACTGCCTTTTCTAAAAACAAACAAATTTACTCCTTTATCCCATGCTTGAAACCTCAGTCTCAAATTGACCTTATAGAAATCAGCAATTCTGATTTCATTATTGTCACCATAAGTGCACTATATTAAGCATACCATTCTACCGCCTATCAAGTTTACATTTAGGGCACTCGCCTTTTCTTATTTCCATCATATATTTCTACTTAGTTTCTTCTTTGCACCAACCTTCTCTCTTACTTTTAATCTACATTATACTTTCAATTGTGAGTTTCTTACCATGTTGCTATAAATTTTCTAGAAACAATTTATAAATAAAAGTTAATTCATATTCTCTTCTTCATTCTTATAAATAATATGTTCTGGTTTTCTTCCTTTAGCATGCTGCATGACTTTGCAAATATTTTTTGAGAGCATCCACTATGTCTGCCCTATGGATGGTGCTATGGGTACACAAAATTATGATATCACTTTAACCTCAAACCTGGGACAATTTGAACAAGCAGCAAATCATGAAAGTCATGGATTGTAACCTATTTATTAAAATAAGAGTCCATGAATAAATAAGTAAGTAAATAAGAAAACATCTTTTCAGTAGAATTCCAACTGACAGATGTAGAAAGAATAAGAAAATTAAAAGCTACTGGGCCAGGTGTGGTGGCTCATGCCTATAATTCCAGCACTTTGGAAGGTCGACATGGGTGGATCACGACCTCAGGAGTTCAAGACCAGCCTGGCCAACATGGTGAAACCCCATCTCTGCTAAAAATACAAAAAAGTAGCTGGGCGTGGTGGTAGGCACCTGTAACCCCAGCTACTCAGGAGCCTGTGTAAAGCAGTGCAGTAAAAATTTAAAACTCAGGAGCCTGAGGCAGGAGAACTGCTTGAACCTGGGTGACAGAGATTGCAGTGAGCTGAGATCGTGCCACTGCATTCCAGTCTGGGTGACAGAGCACGACTCAGAAGGAAGGAAGGAAGGAAAGAAAGAAGGAAGGGGGGGGGGGGAGGAAATTAAAAGCTACTGTCTTTCAAGCACCATAGTAATAATTGTGTTAGGTGGAGATCACCACTGGATGTTGCCATTAGAAGATGAAAATGTGATGAGAAACTAGATATTTGTATAGTCTTAAATTATCAGCCCACAAGATACTTACTAATTGCAGAGGAAAATAAATAGTAAGTTTACAGTGAAGAAACCTGGCAGATACCGCCTTAGCCAAGTTATCAAACTGATAAAACGTGCCTCCTGATATGAAATATTGAGAAGAATACATCATTTCTGTGGTATTTTTTTTAACAAAAATGCATAGCCTGAATTTAATCATGAAGAAAAATTAGACAAACTCAAACACAGGAAAATTCTACAGAATAACTGGCCAATAATCTTCAAAACTGCCAATGTCATTAAAAACAAAAGAACTAAAGAGCTCTTCTAAAAACGAGGATTAGGATATCTAATGTCTAAACGCAATGTATGTTACTGCATTGGATCCTGGGCCAGAAAAAGGACATTAGCCAAGCTATTAATGAAATTTGAAATAAAGTCTGTAAAATACATACAGTATTATAACAATAATAATTTCTTGATTTTGAAAAGTGTAGGGTATAAGATGTTAGCATTTAGGAAATCTGGGTGAACAATATCTTGGAAATCTTTGTACCTTTTGTAAGTTTTGTAAATCTGAAATTATTTCCAGTGAAAAATTTAAAAGATATTTTTATAGTAGTTCCCTTTAGTTGATACTCCCCTTTCCATATGCTCTTTGAGTTATATGAATATACACTTTTTCCTAAATAGAGCTTTCTATTTTTAATTCAAAAGTGTAAATCGTAATCACTTTTTTTCTAAATTGCATCCACATGCAAAAAAAAAAAGAAAGAAGAAAGTTTGCCATTATTATAGTCAATGAGCATCCTTTAAGCCAGAAGAGAATTCTGCGGGTAAAATATAGCATATATTCCATTTGTTTATGTATTTTAATACATAAGATATAAATTTTAAGTGAAAGTCAATAGCAGCGTGAAAGAGACAAGAGATCATTAAAAAGAAGTAACATTTAGGCTGCAGCAGAAAAGCAGGTGGATGGGGCTGTTTCAGCAACTTAGTTTGATGGTGGCAGATGCATTCATTTAATCATTCAACAAATCCCTAAGCACTGAGGCCTGAGAGATAATAGGGGCAGACAAGACTTGAGCTCTTCAGGGTGTGTTTGTGTGTGTGTGTGTGCGTGTGTGTATGTGTGTTGGGAGTGGTGGAGGGCGGGGGTACACTAGGAATAAAGTGCAATGACTGGAAGATGTTGGCATACAGACACTTGGAGGAGGACGCAGATCAAGCAAATAACCAGATGGCTTCCCGGTGGAAAGGACATCTAAGCAGAAGCCAGAAAGGTCAAGACTACTAAACAGATGTCTTTGAATCCTCTCAGAACACAACTTCCTTCATGCCAATCAGTTGCCTCCTGAATCTCTGTTTAATTAACAAGTGGTGGAATAAGTAGGGCAGATCTTTAGCAGCTGTAAGAAGGGAAAAATTATGAACAAAGAAAATTGTGAATGAGAAGGCACAGGGACAACTGAAGAAACTTTAAAATGTTCAGCATGGCCAGTGTAAATTACGAAAGAAGAGCGAAAAAAGACGAAGCTGTGAAGTGAACACATGCCGGGACATGAAGGCTTTTATGTTCTGTACTGAGGTATTAGATATTATTTTGAGCACAAAGGGGCATGACTCTTTATAGTTTTTTATTCAATGGATGAATCTTCAGTGGTTTGCAGGTTATTTTGGGGCCCTCTAGCAGAGCCACTGCCTTCTCATTACGCCACCCCAAGGATAATAGAGATCATCCCAAGCTTGCTGAATCCTGCAAAAACCTGTGATGATTAGATCCATTCCAAGATGGAGACCAGAGGAGACTGGCTTGTGGAAGATTCTTCTGCTTGGAATACTATCATTTGAAGACTGTCTCCAAGCTTCTTTCCTCTCCTGTTGGACATTGGCTCTGCTTCTGTGTCCAGCACTTGTGACAAGTAAATATTCTCTATATCTTTACAAAAATAATGGTGAAAATGGTACTTTAAAATATATAATACTGTGTGGAATAGTGTCATTGAAACAGCTCATCACATTTTAAGGTTTCCAACATGGGGAAGTTGAGGATCAGTTTTGGATAACTAAGCTACTCACAGCTTGATGAAACGGGATTTTCCACTCAGCAGCCTCTTTTTACCAAGTGCCACAGGCACTTCATAAAATTACTCACCAGAGATGGGAGTGCTTTTCTACTTTATCTCAAGGGTGCACTCTATTTCACAAGAAGAAAATCCAATTTATGTTTTACTAGTTTTGTAAGAGTTCTGTTTTAGTCAGGCTATGCTGCCATTTAAGAAAAGAAAACTCTCATATTTTTAATACACAGTTAAAGTTTATTTATGCTTCATGGCACAGTCCAATGCAGGGAAAAGGAGAGGGGAGCCTCTGGTTGATGGTCATTCATGGATCCAGACTTCTCCCATGCAGAGGCTCTGCCACCATCTAGGGCACTGGGTTCCTCCACTTTGTCCAAAATAAAAGGGGTGTACATCACTTCTGCCCACAATCCATTACACACTCACGTGGTCCCCCAATTATAAAGAATGCTGGTAAATGCAATCCAACTGTGTGCTTGGGACAAAGAGAACACAAGTTTTCTCTTCCTCAATTTCCATGTGAAGACTTAAACTAACAGACACTACATATTAAATTTACGTCAGTGATGTTTCTGGGACAGCTGTTTCAGTAATCTTTACTCCCCAGATTTGTTTGTAGGCTATCATTTGGATATTGACTGGAGATTGTCATAAATTTTGCATTCATATCATTAACATTTTTAATATACTTGCTGTCTTAGTCAATTTGAGATGTTATAGCAAAGTACCATAGATTGGGTGGCTTATAAACAATAGAAATTTATTTCTCACAGCTCTGGAAGCTGGACGTTTCAGATGAGGGTGACAGCACTGCTGGTCTCTGGTGAGGGACCTCTTCCAAGCTGCAGACTGCTGTCTTCTCTTTGTATCTTTAGGTGGTGGGAGCGAGGAACTCTCTGGGGTCTCTTTTCCATTAGTGGGGACACTAATCTTATTCATCAGAGCTCCACTATCACAACCTAAATTACCTCCAAAGGCCCCAGCTCCCCATACCATTATATTGGGGGTTAGGATGTCAACATATGAATTTGGAGGGGGCACATGAACATTCAGTCCATTATATTTGCTTTCCCAAAAGCGGCTGTTGCCAGACAAGAAGATAAGTGGTATTTATAAGACCTATTTGAACATATCTCCTATGTCTATTTTACTTCCTCCCAGGGAATTTATTTTACTGAAGCATTTGAATTACACACTACTTTATAGAACAATTATGTGACTCAAGAGACTATTGTTAGATCTAAGCCATAAACTGAACTTTAAACTTTATAGTGGCCAAGATGAATAGTTAAGTGTTATTTTATTGTATATACATCTTAATTACTTATCACTACATTATTGTCATAAAATATTTGGGTCAGCTATGAAGAATGAAGGAGAGAACCAATGAGTTAACAAGAGTTACTGAAAAACAACAACAAAAATCCTCTTTCTGCTTCTTCAGAAATTGTCACGAAAGTTAAACATAAAAATGCTATATTTATGGATTATAACATTTGTGCAAAAACACTGAAGGTGCTCAGCTTCATTCACACCAAGGTTCCATCCAGGGGCTGGATGGGGTAGGGGCAAGTACAGAGAATCTAGCTGAGATTCTGTGACAAAATTTTATGATACACCAGTGAACAGTTGTGATTCCAACCTAGACTTTTCCTTGTGTACCATTTTCTATGACCAAATGCCATACTCCTGCATGCAATAATTTGTTAAGTCTCTGAAGATAGTCATTTTACCATGAAATTTGGTGTCACATCAAATAACTCTTAAACTCATGTAATTCAAATAACACCAATAACAGAAGCTAACATTTGACGAGTATACATTATGTAGCTAGTATTGTTCTAAGCACTTTAGATGCATTAACCTGTGTCGATTATTATGACAGCCTTCCACAATAGGTATTCTTGGCACCGAGTGGTTGAATAAGTAAGTTCACATAGCTAGTGATTGACAGAGCCTACATTTGAGTTATTCTGTTACATGATTTTCCATGTTATAGTCTTTCTATCCACAGGAGAATTTTTCAACAGCTTTCAATCTTTATGATAGTCTACCAATTAGATTATGAATTCACATTTTTCCATTAGTTCATGGTATGTCAAATTGCCTTTTTAAAGCTTGTGTGGAACAAGACAAATGCCTCACCATGTGTTATTCTGTGTATTTTTACTAAATACGCTGAAACATTAGGTATCATACAGTATATTTAAATTTGTACAGTGTTCTATTGTGTCTGGATTTGCCTCCAAACTTTGTATTCTTGTGCCCTATTTTACGATTATATAAGCAATAGTCTAGTAATCAGGAAACCACTCACATCTACTAATTCTCTGCTTAGTATTGAATTGGTCCAACGCAAGACATAGCTCCCCTCCCCAGAGTTAAAATTCAAGATGTGAAGCCTAGCTTTGGCTTCATGATAAAGGTTGATGTAATTGCAGTTATGAGTTTCCATGTTTTTTTTTAAAAAAACATGTTTTTCTGATCCTTAATTGGACAACTTTTTAATGTCTGAAAAAGAAAAGCAAGGAAAAGTATTTAAAGATTCAGGTTACAAATGAGAAAAAATAACCCCGGTCCTGAGCTGGGGCGGAAGGTTACGAACTGATGCGATTAACCCGCTGTTGCTCCTGAGTTGGAAGGGTGGCCTTCGCAGGGTGTCTGATTGAACGTCCTGTAGATGGCGCTCCACCTGTGTGTTCACTTTCTTCTCCTGGACCCTTTGGTCCCATTTCTATCCCGAGGTAACTACGAGATTTAACATTTCCATTCACGACTGTTACTCCCGGAATATCAAAGGGGCGGCGTTGTCCCCTTTACTCTGACCTGCCACCCTGGGGAGGAATTGCGTTCCTAGATCCAAGTCTCCCAGTGCCGATTCCTTCTTTCCTTCCTTAATCCTCCCTCACTGATCTTTCCTTTTTCTTCCATTCTGCAATTCCCTGTTGGTACTTTGCCTCTAAAGCGAAGAGTTCTGGAATTGGCTGCTTTTAGGCAAAATATACATTTCTATTGAGATTTTTCTGAGATTTCCTTAGGATTCCCCCATATAGTTTCCATACTTCCAGTGTCTTTGGTTTTCATAGGATTTGGTCAATAACCCCATATAGGCTGTTCAGTCCGCCAGGCTCCTAGGGCAAGCCCAGCAGGTTGTTAAAGCACAGTCAGCAACAGCTGCAAATAATTAGCACTCACAACTTCTATAAAGAAATCTTCTGAAGGAGGGAATGGTTTGGTGGGTTGCCAATGGCGGGAAGCCTGGACTAGCGATTAGGTCACTCCATTAGTCTTTGATTCATAGGTTTGCTTCCTGTAAGAGGCTTTTAAAAATCAGAGTTGAGCCTAACTTTCCTTAATGCAATAAAGCAGAAAAGAGAGTCCAGGTGAAATTCTAGGAGCAGAGGGAGACGGAGAGTGGCTCAGGTCAGAAGACAGAAATTGACTTATTACCCAAAAGTTGTTGTGCTTTGTTGACTAATTTCCCATCAGTGAGTCACTCTGGCCATTAGAAGTTATTCCAGTTTATAACAGCACATCACTTATAAGAATCACCATCAAGGAAGAAAGAACTGGCTATAATCCATGATCAACAAATGCCATATTTGTCTTTTTTCCCCTTTTAAACAGCTTTCCTATATTTTAAAACTTTCACATGCTGTTAGAATTGTTTTCTTTATATTATGCCTAAGTATTGTTTTGTTCAATGATAAAGCAAAATATAAGCAAAAAACCAAACTGCTGTCTCTCCCATCCTTAGATACCTCGACCCAGGATTCTAGAATTGCCTCATGAGGCAAACCAAGAATCAGCCCAGCCAGGACTTGCACCTGACAGAGGTCCTGGAGAGATGGCAGGGACCTGCCCCATAGGCCTCCGTGTCAGTTTCCCAGTCAGAGATGTCCTGGCTAACATTTTGATCACCTCTGATCATTCCTTAATTTATTGGAGACTTTATACTTTCAGCCCATACCCTCCTTGCAGTTGTCAGCCTCTGAAAGCAGCTCTGACAATATTCCTTTTTCTATATTTTATACATTAGATGTAATGTCATTATTTAGTATCCTTAGCAATAAAGGATCAGAGTCACCCATATGTAGTTTCTAGTTTTCCCAGTGTCAATCATGACCCCATATGTATATATCAAAAATAATCTGCTTTTTAATTTCTACAACCACCATAACAAATCCATTGAAATCAAAGTCTTCTGTAAGTTTATAGGATTTACTAAAGATTATGTAAGGAACAGGGAAAGGAGTTATATTTCACTCCACACAGCACGTATCTTAACAAATCTCAATTGCTGTTTACCTAAATTCTCTCTTCAGCCTTATCATCACTCTCTCCAAGATCCCTTCCTCCCACTCTCCCCTTTCATTCCAGCCCTCCACTCCCTCCCTCTGCTTCCTCCTACCTTTCCTTATTGTGCAGAATCTCTGGGTGCTGGCCAGCTTCTGTTTAGCTGAGAGCTTATTAAAATCTTGTTTCACTAAAATCAGTCTTTCTTCTGGAAGGCAAGATAGAGGCAAAATTAATTGTTGCTTTCGAAAAAAGAATATTTTGTCCAGATCATTACATTGCATAATACATAGTTTCTTTACTTTCCTGTGTTAAGCTAACTTAGATCCAGAAACAGAACCACAAAGTAGTTCAATTGATTTCCAAAAAACCTTAGACAATCCCAATTATAGTCTTACCAGCATCGATATAAATTACTCTACTTTGTTTCCCCTCTGACATTCCTGCCTGCCTCCACCAGGTATAAGATAAATGGTTATGCGCAAGCTGTGTCATCTATTTACATCAGGACTCATTTTTTTTTTTTTTTGACCTTTCATTTATTTTATCTTTGAGCCTCCACATTCCTCTTCTGCAAGAAACATGGAAGAGATAAAGGGTGGTGGGAAGAAATTAGTTTTTGGCTACTTGCCTCAACTTTGATCTTCTGTGTTCTTCTGCTAGCATTCATATCTGTAGCAATGTGCTTTAAGATTAAACAGACAAACAAACCAGAAAAAAGAACCAAAGTAGATAGCAGTTCCTGTTTTCAGTGCTTTGGAGGACTGACCATAGCTTTTCTGAGTTCTGAGAAGTCATTTGTTTCCCAGCACTGTTTCTTACTTTACTGGGTTTTGCAGCCTACACGGGTCACATCCATCAGTTCAGTCTCGTGTCTATTAATGCATGCTGTCGGGAAGAAGCAGTATTTGTCTCTAAGCACCAACTTACTTCATTTTTTGGAGAAAATTTTAATAATGCCTGTCATACTGATGAAAGCCCTACAGTTTCATTAAATTCAACCTGATACTTTATCAAACACTTATCTGCCAAGTCCGTCACTAGGTGCTGGGGATACAACTTATATGAGGCAAATTCCTTGCCTTTGATGAATTTACAATCTAAACTGCAAGAAAATTTGTTGATATTTATCAAGAATTATAAAGATATTCTCACTCTTAAGAATTTATTTTAAAGGTAAAATTCAACACAAGCTGCATGAAAAAAGGGAATTTATTGAAGCATTAGTCATTAGCAAAAACCTAGAAACAACTTGTATGGAGGTCAATAATAGAATGATAGTTAAGTAAAGATCGAAATACTATACCATCATTTAGAATAATAATTGTAAAGATAAAACGGAAAGATTGACCCTAATGATTTACACCACTGATATTTGCTAAATTCAATTTTACTATATAGGCATTTTCATTTTTATACCCCATTTGTTAATATATCTTTTTCTTTTTGTGATTAGAAAAATTTAGGACAAATATTCCCTAAGAAGTATAATATATAGAGTCAAGGAGTTTGTAGATATTAAGGCAAGGAGAGGTTATTTCTTTTCTTTTTTGAGACAGAGTCTTGCTCTGTCGCCAAGTGCCAGGCTGGAGTACAGTGGCGTGATCTCTGCTCACTGCAACCTCCGCCTCCTGGGTTCAAGCAATTCTTCTGCCTCAGCCTCCTGAGTAGCTGGGATTACAGGCGCACACCACCGCACCCAGCTAATTTTTATTTTTAGTAGAGACAGGGTTTCACCATGTTGGCCAGGATGGTCTCGATCTCCTGACCTCGTGATCCGCCCGCCTTGGCCTCCCAAAGTGCTGGTATTACAGGGTTATTTCTTTTAAGTAAATCAGAATTATACATCGATCACTGAACAAGGAGAGTCCATAAGACACTATCAACAGGTTTAGGGGAACAGTTAAGTATAGGCTGCATGGATGCAGAAGTTTTCTTTGGGACACAAAGTTTAAATCTATGCAGCTGGAGTTCAGGCTATTTGTATGACTGCTTCTTCCAATCCCCAAAAATACAAAAAAGTACAAGTTACCTGTGTATTTTCTATGTAGAATCCCTATTATCTTTAATAAAAGAGAAGAAGCTAAATGTACATTTTTATTACAAAAAATCCAGAAATATCTTAAATAGAGAATTCATTCAATGAAATTAAACTACAGTATCTTAACTACATGGAGTATTCTACAGTAATTAATATGACAATTATGAAGAAAACATAAACATGTTGGCTAATTCAATAGTAAGCTGATAGTAAAGAATAAAAAGTATAAATTATTGATCTTGAGTAAGTTTATGAAATTTTAATTGCATAAGGATTCATTTAATTGCATAGGGCCTAATTAATTGCCTAAGGACTAAATCTGGAAGAGAATAGGTAAGAATGTAAATAGTATGTTAGGATGGTAAAATTATAGGTGAGTGTTTTTCTTTCATTAAAGTATTTTTATAGTTAAATACAAAAGAAAATTAGAGGCTTAGAATTACTTGCCATATTCTGCTGAATTCATCATAATAACAGGCTATCTATGAAGGAGGAAGATACTTTTAAGGAGAAAGACATCTTTTAAACTGAGAATAAATTTAAGTATCCAAAGCTTCTTTGGGTCCTTATAGTAACTTGGTTTTGGAACTTGCAATATAATATTAAAAGAAATCTACTGCATAACTTTTAGTCAAATGTAGGCTGGGATCCTACTGCTGCCATTTTCACAGAAAAAGCTACTGAAATTTTGATGCTTAGTTTTTTTTATTTGTAATATGAGGATAATAATAAAAGCTACCTCATTGATTTTTCTTATTTTCATTTTGTTTATGTTTGTTTTGCTTTAATCAGGATAAATATCTGGTATCTAGCAATACTTAATAAATATTGATGGTTCCTGGAGCTGTTGTCCAAAGCCTGGAATAGGACCCTTCAAGGCATAGCTGTGACCCTGAGTTTGCCTCTGTAAAGGACACAGCTTCCCACTATATTAATCTGAGGAGGACTTGGAGGAATAAAGGGTCTGGTCTCTATCAGTGCCCCCCCATAAATGTTTTCTTTGCACAAACAGCAGAGTACAAATAAAAGGATAAATAGGTAACCATTTGTTCCATGTCTGCTCTCCATCACTTCAAGAATCTTGAGGTCTAAGTGACACAAACAACAAGCCCATGTGCTTGTCAATACCAAGGGCCTGTTCTCACTGCTGGCATTCATACCTGTAGCAATATGCTTTAAGATTAAACAGACAAACCAGAAAAAAGACAGGTGGGATATCAGAGCAAGTCCTAATATTAGCAGTGACATTTATGCATGAATTCACTCAAGAACATTTATTGAGCCATCAGACATACAGAGGTTCTCTGGTGTCTCGTTTCATCAGCAATCAACAAAAAGAGAGAAGGAAATGTTGAATTTTAATCTTCTGATAGAGTTTTCTGTATCAAGCTTAACATAAGCTGCTTAGAGACAATTATTGCAAACGTCCTGCTTCTTAATCCCTTTGACAGAAATTAGCTGCCATCACGGGGAAAGGGGTTTTAAAAGGATTATTAAGCAATATCATGCAATCAGCCAATACTGCATTATATTAAGTATCTTTTAACATCCTGGTGTTCCTGCTTTGGAATGACTCAATAAAATGTCTTCTACAATGTCTCTTGGGAGACTTCCCTCTTATCCCACCTACCTATGGGTCCTTCAACCACACCCAGGCTTTGCTCCCACTCTCTGAATTTCCCAATTCTGAAGTATTTGTCACGGTGAGTTATAGCACCCCAATTCACTTGCACTCATTCATGTTGGAAATTACTCATGTTGTTAGCTACTGGAAAATAAGTCTGGAATGTTCCTGTCTGAGCTGTCACACAATATGCTTCCCTGAGATCTGGAACCCAAGTGATACGGACTTCAGTGATCACAGTGCTGCAGTACTTTGGATTAGAAAACAGATATATGATGGCAAAGTGGCTGGTAGAAGAAAGACAGTAAACCTAAGTTTATCATGTGTAAGAAGGAACCATGCCAGCTGTAAAAAAGCTACAAAATGTAATCATTCTGAAACCTTAAGAAGCTTACAATATATGGAGAAAGATGAGTATTGATAAGAGTCAGATGCCATTTGAGAGATGCAAATAGTTATGTAGGAGCACAAAGAAGGAAATTACTAACCGTGGACATTATAGCACGTGGGTCATTGAGCTGGTTAAAATCGTGGGCTCTGGAGTTAGACAATGACTGGATTAAGATACGAACTTTACCATTTACTGGCTTTTTAGCTTGTCATCTTGAGCACATTACTTATCTTTCCTGTGCCTCAGATAATCTCAACTGTGAAGTGGGTTGAATAATAACAACGATTATGTCATAAGATTACTGTGAGGCTCAGCCAGGCACCCGGTGGCTCACGCCTGCAACCTCAGCACTTGGGGAGGCTGGGGCGGGCAAATCACAAAGTCAAGCAATTGAGACCATCCTGGCCAACACGGTGAAATCCTGGCTCTACTAAAAACACAAAAATTAGCCGGGCATGGTGGCACGCACCTGTAGTCCCAGTTACTCTGGAGGCTGAGGCAGGAGAATCGCTTGAACTGGGGAGGCGGAGGTTGCAGTGAGCTGAGATTGCACTACTGTACTCCAACCTGGCGACAGAGCGCGACTGCATCTCAAAAAAAAAAAAAAATTACTGTGAGTCTCAATAAAGTCATACATTTATGCCACTAACAAAATAAACACTCAACACGTTTTCTATTATTATTAGGTCACTAAAATGGCGCATTAGTAAAAGTCTATACTAGAATGATTATAAGGTTACTTTTTATCTCCCAAAGCTCTCTTTTGTGGAGGAAGAAAAAGCCATGTTATCAGGAACTAAAGAACAAGCAGGTAAGAAGAATGAAAAAGTGGAGCTATATTTTCTCTTATTGTCACCTTTGGCTACAGTCCTAGTTTTTAGCCGTAGGAGTCTTCAGACTCTAGATTTTATGTCATTCATCTGCAAAGAATTCCTTGGGTAGAGCTGGCACTTCCTCATCTATGTTTCAATAACAGCTTGTGTGCAGCTTTAGAATCATAATCAACCGTAACAATAACACCTGTAATTTATTCTGTGTATGTCACTAATGTTTAATATAATTCTCTGATTTTTTTATGCATCTCTACAATGCCAAATAATAGGAATTATTGCTCCCACTTTGCAGATAAGGAGACTGAGGCCTAGATAAGTA